GAGGCAGGAGTGCTCTGAGAATTCCTGGCTCAGCTCTCAGTCGGGACAAATTAACCTCAGGCCCATTTCTTTAGAGAGGTTGGTAGTTCCTGTGAGGGAAACCAAGCCAGCTGAGGAGTCCTAAAGCATCCCTGTCTGTCCTTGAGTCCCATTCCCTGGAGGTGGACTTTGGCTTCGAGCATCATCAGAAATCCTAGGTTCACCAGGAAAGCACCCCCTCACCTGCCCCAGCCCAGAGACAGGACACAAGCAAAGCCACTCTGAAGTACAGTCACATGATTACCCAGACCTGGACACATGAACAAAGACACTCACATGTGTAGTCACAAATCCACCAGACACAAGCATGTGTACACACTCATGCATACAGCATGGCATGCACACACTCATATGGCCACATGTGTGTGCTTACACATAGGAACACACTCATAAAATGATTTTTTGGGAGGGGGTACTAGGGAATGAATTCAGGGACACTCAACCACTAAGCCACTTCCCCAGTCCTATTTTGTATCTTATTTAGAGACAGGGTCTCATTGAGTTGCCCAGGCTGGCCTTGAACTTTCAATCCTCCTGCCTCAGTCTTCTGAGTCACTGGGATTACCGGCATGTGCCACTGCACCCAGTTCATACTCATAAACTGACAAAGTAAATTCTTGCAAAGATGCACACACTTAGAATCACATGCATGCAGACGTGCTTGCATATGTATTCACATGCACTCGGTCACTTCTGTCTCTTCCCACCCTCATCCCAGTTCTCTCAGTCCAGTGCTTCACTGTAGCCCTTTGCATGCTCTTTGCAAGGAGGGCATCAAAGGAGGGCAAATGTCATATGCATGTGGCCCAATGAGCATGAAACTGTGTGTGCCTATGTCTGTGTCCATGTGTCACTGTATGTCTGACAGTCTGTATAGTTCTAGCTCTTTGAAAACAAGGGGATGACTCTTTATGATGAGGAGCATGTTTTTCTGTGCATGTCTGTGTGTATACCTGGAAGGACTTATGTGTGGCCATGTGTACCCACATGTGTGAATGGGAGTGAGTGACGTGGGGATTTTTTATTTCTGTGTAACTGCACCTTGCAGGCCATCTCTTTCTTGCCTGTGTATGCCTGTCTACGTGCACATTTGCATATCTGTGAGTGTCCCACGCGTACCTGGCTCTGTGGTCCAGGCTCCATAGGCTGACTCTATTCAGAGGCTATGGCCAGCAGAGGCTATGGCCAGGGTGGGGTCAGGTGAGACTGGACTAAATCCCCCAGCCAATGACAGTTGTATTTACCGAGCTCTGAGTAGGACATAATTGCTTCTATTAATCTTTCTCAGGTTGTTAATTGCTCACTTATCGGGTTGTGTATTATGCCGACTGTTGCTCTTAATTCGCCTCCATAGCTGCAGGTGTTTGCTGCCTTATTAACTGTTAATCGGCGCGGCTAGGGATAGAGATTTAATTGGCCCCCAGAGTGGGACACAGGCGGGCCAACCGGGCACTGCCAGGCTCTCAGCCTGTCCCTGGAACTCTCACCTGTGGAGCACAGGTGGCACCAGGGAAGGGGCTGGGCCACTGCCAGCAGTCAGCAGTCCTAAGTATAATAAGAGTCAGGGTGCCAACTGCAAGGTATAGCCCCTATGTGATCCTAACTCTTCCCAGAAGCCAACCGACCAATCAGAACCCAGCTCCTGAACTCCCTCTCCATCACCAACCTTCTACCAGGACAGGAGCCAAGCTCATTTATTTTAATTATCTGAACCTAATTGAGAACTAACGTTAACACAGAGTGGACGTTAGTGTTTTTTGCCCTTTAACACCTCTTCTGCTTTTTCCATGTGACCCTAGCGATCAAGGTCATAAAAGTTACAGAGACACTGGGAGAAAAGAGAGCAAGAAGCATCCAGCAGAGCAAGAGGAGTTGAAGTTAGACCCAAGAAGCACTTCCCAGCCTTTGAGGAGGTATCTGGAGCAGCTGGAGACTACACAAGAGTAAGAGCTTCCAGGAGGAAGTTCTGCTGTCCCATCCCAGCCACGCTTTTGCTTGCACAGCCCCAAGAATAGGGAACTCCCTCCCTCCCACCACTGCCCTGCCGCACAGCTGCTCCTCAGCAAGTGAGTTCTGCACACTGAGTTGACTTCTCCCCTCCAGACTGTTGTAGCAAAGGAGTCCCAATTGTCATCATGGGGAAACTGAGACCCAGAAAGGGAAAAGGAGTGGCTCCAGGGTTCCCCAGTCCTCTCTGGTAGAGGCTCAAGCCTGCTCCAATGTTTCTGCCCTCCACCTTCCCTGTGGCCCTGCTCCATCCCAGACATCTCAGTCCCAGAGGGTACCTTCTCAGCCTCCATCTCCTCTACTCAGTCTTCAAGCCTCCCACCTCAGCGGTCACTGCTGCAGCAGCTTCTGGCTCCAGTGTCTTTGGGTTAAGAATGAAAGATTTTTGGAAACATTGGTGTCCCTGTAAGTATGTAAGCGGTGGGGGGAGGGTCCATGTTGCACCAACCTGGCCTCTAGCCTCCAAGAAGGAAAAACAGGCAAACCAATAATCCTCATCCTGTGCCTGGAATCCAGTCTGCCCTCTCATCTGGAAGTTCTTCCTGGTGTCTAGTTGTCATATCTCGAGCTGCAAAGGAAGATGATTTGCTTTAGCTGGGTTCTGAAAGGCTATGGGCTCGACAAGGGAGAGAGATACCATGAGTGCCTACTGTGTGCCAGAAGCAGGAATAAATGTGTGTAAAAGAGGCATCCTATTTCACCTCACATAAACTAGTGAGTTAGGGATTAGTAATCCTATTTACAGAGAAGGAAACTGATCCATAGAGAGGGAAAAACCATACAGGCAGGATAGGGCTGAACTTGGGTTCCAACAAGCCTTGGCTTTGCTTAGGGAGCTGTCTTCCCTCAAGGATACTTGACTGGGTGGCAGTGGTCACTATCAACTCAAGCCACCCACCCCAAACCTGGGATCCCTGATGAGCAAAACACTCACGCATGCACCTCCCACGTACTCATCAGATAAAATGGGAAAGGAGCAAAGGGAACCTTCCGGGGATAGTTACCCAAACAAGCTCAGGCCCCGCCTCTATGTTAATGACATGCAGATATGCAAATTTGCACAAGCAACTGCTCAAACCTTAAGTAGCAATGGGGTGACACAGGAGCAGTTGCTATGGAAATCCAAAAATGATGCCCCTCCCCACCTCCTGCACCAGCAGGTTCATAGACACGTGCACAAAGACCCAGGGTTCCTCGCTCTGGCGCCCAGAGGATCACGGAGTGGCAGAGGGTGTGAACCGGAAGGACCCCCAGAGACTGTGTCCAGCCGGGGGACGCTGAGACCCGGGGAAAGTCGCAGGAAGGGCACCATCTCGATCCTTGTGGGCCCGGGGCACCTTCCACCCAAACCCTTAGGGTAAGGGACGACTCCTACTCCGGCCTAGCAACGCGAGCTCCGCCCAGCGTTGCATAGCAACGTCCCTCGAGCCTAGCAACCCCGGCCACGCCCCCTAGCAACGTCAGGCCTAAGCCGCGCTCCCGGCCCCTACCAAAAGAGAGACGGGGAAGGGACAGTGGACTAGGGCTAAAAGGTGGGTGGGGGTCACGTCACCCAGTCGCCGCCTCAAGACAGGCGACGGGATCCTCACATGGAGACCCGCTCCCCGCCGGCGAGGCGTTCGAGGGCCGCGTTAGCACCCCCCTTTACAGAGAGGCAAACCAAAGCTCAGAAGGGAAGGCCCTGTCTGGAGGCTAGTGCTTGTTCTTCCCGGGAGCGCAGCAAGCGCTTAGTCTCCCGGGGGGCGGAGGGGAGCCCTGGCCTGGGGGAGGGGTGCACAGCCGTCTCCCCCGCCCCACTGCGTTAGGAAAACCACCCAAGTTGCGGACTCCAAATCGAGCTGCAGGTTTGCATAGTAATTTGCATCATTTGCATATAGTGCGGAGGCTGTGGTGCTCCCTTGTCCCTCAGAACCAGATAAGTTCTCCAAGGAGTCCTGCTACTTTCCCTGGTTCACCTGTCGATCCCCCTCTCCCTGACCCCCACCTACAGCCCCCCGCGCCCCCGCTTCCAACCCCTTCCACTAAGTTCATTCACCCCGCCCCCAGCTCAGCCTCTGTCCTGCCAGCCCCGACCTCCATCCCAAGGCCGAGGGCCCCCTCTGCTGTCGGCCGCGGGTAGGGCAGCCGCAGAGCTCAAGGGGCAGGGAAGAGGGAAACCACCGTGGCCCCTTCCTTCCCAGTCCATCAGGGTCCAGAGCGAGGTGGAAACGTGGGTAGAGGATACATACCTTCAGTCTCTGGAGCGAAGGAGGGGGGCGTTCTGCAGAATTCTCTCCCCTTGGCCAGCCCCTGCTTCCCCACCCTGGGCTGGCTAGCCAGGGCAGCTAGTTCTGAGGTCAGTCTTCAGACTCAATTCTCTCAAGTTACACACATGGAGACACTTTATATTAGAGCTGCTGTGGCGAGCTCATTGCAGGGCCAAGGCAAGGTAGCACCGCCCAATGCTAGGCAATCAGACATATGCACGTGCATACGGACACACATGCATGCCCAGGGACACTCAAAGATACACACACACACACACACAGGAATATATGGTGGCACTTTGTGGTACCCCTCATCTATCCAAAGGAAGAAATCTTGGTCATTGAGAAGCTTAAAAAAAACATTGAAACTTGCTCTCCTTTTGCTCCTTAGCAATTTCCATGTCTGTGCACCTTCAAAAGCCTCTGTCCACTTCTCTCCCCCCACCCCAGTCCTGCCTGTTCTTCCCCCTAATCAGAATACTTGCAGAATTCTTCTAGAAGCTACTCAGGGCAACAGCTTTTCCCTGGGGCAAAGTGATGGTTCCAAATTCCAGACCAGCAGTCAGCAAGGCTGCAAATCTATACACAAAAATCCAGACACACCAAACCACATCTGGTTGGAACTAGGGTCTCTCCTGACCAGTCAGCAGATGCAAAACTAACTTTGCCAAATTCTTTATTGAACCAAAATCCAACACCAAACAGATTGCAGGACAGGAAACAAACAAGACAGGTGGGGAGAGCTGACCCTCTTCTTCCTCCACCCTGTCTCTGTCTGGAGTAAGGGAATCAAGATCCCTGTTGATTCATAAAGATCCATCTACAGGGCCCAAAGAGGGGTCAGGGCCTGGGCCAGGGGGTTCTGGAACTGCAGGGGGCTGGCAGAGGAAGCCAAGAATCCCTGGGGCTGTAGGGGGCTGGGCAGATGCTACAGAGGATGGGGGGTGGGGGTTCTGGCCTGGGGGCCACAATGAGGCTTGGAGCTGGTGAGTCATAGTAACCAGGGACTCAAGGTGCTGGAGCAGGGCTTGGTAGGGACAGGAGGCCCTGTGGAGGTGCTGCCCATGGCCAAAGCCACGGACAGTTGGTATAACTGAAAAGGGATGTTGGGACTGGAACCATCCTGGTGCTGGGGCCCTCTGCCCTCGCCCAGGACGGTGCCAGGTTTCAGGCTCTGCCAGCAGCCTCCCCCTGCCTCTGGGAAACCCCTGCCAACCACAGGCTCCCCTTGGAGGTGGGCTACCCTTGCCCTGGCTCTGCTGCAGGGAACCCCCTGGGGGAGGGGAGCCTCTCAGGGGCACATCTTGCCTCCTGTCCTCTTGCTGGTAGCACCGCATCTCTACTTTCCTGTTGAAGGAGACCATCTTGCGAACCTTCCTGCACACAGGGCTGGACTTAGCTGGGTCTGGGAGTCCTTTCTTGGGGAGCAGCACAGCCAGCAAGAGACTTGAGTGAGTAGCCTCCAGACCTGGGAAAAGAATAGGGAGCTATGGAAGGCCTGGTAGGGGACAACACGGAGCCCCCAAAGCTTCACTGTGGCTACAGCAGATCTGGAGATGAGGTCCCAAGAAGAGCCCCCCCCAAAGTAAATGGGAGGGTGAGCCTGTCTTGGAGGAGCTGGTCTTGGCTTGACCAAGGTCCACCTGAGGGTGGGGCGTGGATGTTTGACCTCAAGGCTCTGTGAATTCAAAGTCTACCTCATTGTCCCAGGACATGAAGCCCAGAAAGTTCAAACACTTTGCTAGGGAACTGGTACAGTGGAACCCTTGAGTCCCCAGCCCTCCTCCCCAGGGGCTTTCCTGGAGGCACACTGTGGATTGATCCCTGCATGGAACCCAAACTTGACCAGCGCAGCTGCAGCAAAAGGACCCCTCCCTTCCTCCTGTCCTCAGTGATGTTTTCAGACTGCTATCTGTGGGTCCTGCCTCTGTCCTGCTGTACCTGAGTCAAATGTGGCTGTCCCAGAAGCTTCTACTCAGGGGTACCTAACAGCACAGGCAGTGCAGGGTGGTACTTAGGAGCCCACTTCCTGGAGCCAGGCTGCCTGGATGGGAAGCCCAGCTCTGCTGTTGACTTTGGACAGGTCACTTTGCCTTCTCACTGCCTCGGTCTCCTCATCTGTCAAACTGGGAGGGCTGTTTTCCTTTCCCATCTGCCCAAGTCTGGAGTTCCCTTCTGAGATGTGCCTGCCTCTCCTGAGACAGAGGTACTGGTACCAACAAGTCGGTCCTCTGTGAGGGAGGCAAGGTGCCGTGTGAGCAGTGAGCACTCACCTGGGCCCCCCAGAGGGCGCAGTCTGGTGGGCAGGGGCTGGAAGGCGGGCAGCGGGAGCAGGACCACCTCCACGTGCGCCACAGCCACCAGGCCATGGCGCTGCTTGTTGTTGAGGTAGGAATACAGCAGGCGGCAATTCTGGGTGTCCCGAGCCCCAAGGGGACACAGTCTGACCACACAGATGTCCTGCAGTCACAGAAGGAGAGCAGCTGAGGAGCAGTTGTCCCCTGGGCCTGCAGATGCCCCTGGTCTCATCCAAGTCTCTGGAAACCCAGGGAAGGAGACCGAGGGACTTGCTGAGGGTCACTCGGTGAGGCTCCAGTCACACAGGAACTAGACCCAATTTCTCAGGGCAGGCTCCCGCAGCAAAGCAGGATGGGAGGGAACTTGGGAAGAGGGTGACGCACCAGGAGAAGTGGGGGTACCGAGAGGGGCAGTCACCTTGGCCTCAGCTGGGCAGACGCTGGCCAAAAGGTCCCAGACAACGTTGGGCAGGATGCAGCTTGCTGAGCGGATCACCTCAGGCAGAGCCTGGGGGCAGGGAGGAGGCCAGTTAGCCCCCCAACTGCCCACCCCCATAGGCAGACTCATTCCCAGCCACCCAAAGGGCCTGGGGTGAAGAAGATGGACAGGCAGTATACGGGGACCCTCAGGGGCTGCCAGAGGACTTACCTGCCCTGGAGGCCTACAGCCTGTCCCAGCCAATCTCTTACAACTCCTCCCCACCCTCACCAACACGCGCCCTGATCACTGGGTCACTGGACAATCCCTCCTAAAACCCTCCTTTGCTTTAAGCCTGGGGTCACAGGGAGTGCTTTACCCTGTGTGTCCCTGTAGAGATGGGGCTGGGGTCTCATTTGCCCCAGCCAGGCACGGAGAGGATGCCGTGTTGTTTCAGCAAGGGTGACAGAACGGATGGATGAAGGAAGGAAAGGGAGGCGAGCAGCCGCAGGGCGGTGTGAGGGAGGACCAGCCAGCAGAGTGGGAGTACCTGGGCCAGCCGACAGCTGTGTCCTGAGACCAGCTGGGCCTTCACTCGGAACCGCTTGATGGAGAACATGTCAAGAGCACCCTCCCAGGGCGGGGGGCTGGGCAAGGCTTTTGTGGGCCCAGGAGGTATCTGTGGCCTAGAGGGAGGGACAAACAGACTGGGCCAGGCAGAGCAGGTCATCGGAACTGAACCCCAGCAACTCCTTCCTTTTCAGATCAGGTGCTGGGTCACCAAGGCAGGGACTGGAACATTGGTCCCAGCGTGGCCTCGTGCAGGGGGAATCTAGTAGGCTGGAATGATTAGTTCCATTGTACAGGTGGAAAAACTGAGGTTCATGGAGCAGGAAGACTTGCCCAAGACCATACAGGAAGACAGGTCCATGCTGGGTGTGCCTCTCCCTCCCAGCCTGTTCCTCCCAGCTCCCACACACCTGTCCTGGGGCTCTGTAAGAGGGGTGTCCCTGGTTTGGGACATCTCTGGAGAGGACACAGGAGCTGGGCTTGGAGCTCTCTGGGAGACCTGGTCTTCCCTGTTTCTGGTGGCTCTGGAGAAGCCTGGCAGCCCGCTCAAGGCCTCGCAGTCTGCAAACAGCAGAGGCAGGAGCTCAAACCACAGGCAGAAGAGGAGGCCACCCGGGCTTGAGAGCCGCGGCTGCACCAGGTTCATGTCACAGTGACCTGGGCACAGGCACCCCCACTCTGCCCCTTCTCGCCAGGTCGCCATCCTGCTGCTGATCCCCACACCAGCCCCAGCCCACCCAGTGCCCCACCCACCCCCACCTGTGCAGATGCGGCAGTTGGGGTCCAGGAAGTGGTGATGGTGCTGCTCCGTGGTGTCCTCCAGGGGGGCGGGCAGGGCCAGGGGGCTGCATTCTCTAGACACCACGGGTCCCTGGAAGGCACAGGAGCAGAGGGGGCAAATGGAAAGGTGGCTGGGGAAGTCAGCGGCCCTCCATGGGCAGGGAGCCCCAGAGAGACGGTTTATTTTACTTTTCTCATTTTTTTTATTACGGTGAACTCAAAGAAAAATTTGAAAATACAAAAAAATATTGAAAAAAGAAACATCCTTCCCCATCCTACCACACATACAACTCATGATATTCCAGGCATTCATTCCTTTATCATAGTTTTTCCACACATAGGGGTTGGGCCCTTTGTTCAAACAGCTGAGATGGAGCATTCAACCTGACATCCTCGTTTTATAGCAGAAGCACTTGATGCAGTGGGCTGAAGTGTCCCCGTCACCTCTGTTGCTTGCTGTCTGGGTCATTTGCTGGCTTTCACTATTCTGAATAGCACTGGGGACATCTTTGTGCAGAAGTATTTTCCTAAATTTTATATTCTTAGATCCAGTCTCAGAAACAGAGGGCAGAATCAGGGAGAGTGAGCCAACTTCAATGGACTTCTAAATTTTTTTACATTTTAATTTTTTTTATATTTTGGTACTAGGAGTTGAACTCAGAGTGCTTTTCTACTGAGCTACACCCCCAGCCCTTTTTATTTTTTTGTTTTGAAATAGAGCCTTGCTAACCTGCTAAAGCTGGCCTCAAACTTGAGATCCTCCTGCCCAGCCTCCTGAGTCACGGCAATTACAGGTGTGCTCCACCGCACCTGGCGTTCCATGGACTCCTGATGTCCCCTGCCGAATTATTGTTCCCTTTAAAATACACACCTAAAAAGAATAGGTTGCTTTAGGAGGGTTTAAGAAAATTCTGAACTGCCAGGCACAGTGGCACATGCCTGTAATCCTAGCAACTTGGGAGGCTGAGGCAGGAGGATCCCAAGTTCAAAGTCAGCCTCAGCAACTTAGTGAGGTCCTAAGCAACTTGCAACTTGTCTAGACCCTGTCTACATAAAATATAAGAAAGGGCTGGGATGTGGCTCAGTGGGTTCAATCCCCAGCACACACAAAAAAAGATTCTGAAACTCTGTCCTTATCTTATAGCCACCTCGGGAGCAGTGCTGAAGCTCGGGTTTTGAGCAAGGCAGCCCAGGTTCAAACCTCGGCTCCACCACTACCGGGTGGCCTCAGGCCAATGGCTCCAGGTTCTCCATCCCAGAATAGCACAGACTGCGTAGGTCACTGCGAGGTCCGAGGTTGAGTGAGGTGCTGTTTGTAAAGGGGCACAGCTCAGTGTACTGTGTGTGGTTTCCCTTCCCTACTCCACCACCTCCCCTCTCTCTGCCTCTCTCTGGGGACTGAGGACTCCCGCTGGGTCTTCCCACCTTCTCCTCTGCAGACACATGGCTCCCTCAGTCCCCGACTCTGAGGGCTGGGCTCTGGTGGGGGAGCAGCCACCATCTCCCAGGGCTCCTCTCCACCTGGGCTGTGGCTCTCCTTGGCCTGAGCATTGGGGGTGACAAGTGGGGTGCTGGGGGTTCAGCTTGTCAGGCTCACTGCCATTTCCCCCAGAGCCTGGCACCCAGTAGGTGCTCAGTACATATGTGCTGAGTGAATGGTCATGGTCAAGAGGCCTGAAGCCCTGAAGCTCTCTCTCCTGGACACACAGCTGATTAGAGCCAGGGGACAAGTGACCCCATGGGAACAGCAAACCAAGCCAGTGGGCTTCTTCTGAGAGTGACTGATGTGCGCCAAGGGGAAGTTCTCTTCGGCTGCAGGAGGCTGAGGTGCTCAGGTAATAGATTTGGAAGCTGCTGAGCCCCTGGGGCCGGATCTGCGCAAGACGGAGGAGGCCAGGGGCAGGAAGGCGTGGGGTGTGCCTGTCAGGAAAGCCAGTCCCCAGCCATGAGAGGCGCTGAGACTCTGGACTCTCCTACTGGGCAAGTTCCAGGAGGCTCTCTGGCCTGACCACCCTGAGCAATGGGTGGTTTCCTGCCTGGGGCATCTCCAAACGCACCAAGTAGAGCATGTCCCTGCCCCTGACATCTGGAAACCACTGCCGGAGCAGTGTGGCCCTCCTGCCTCCCCGCCGCAGACCTGAGCAGGAGGGCTAAGGCAGAGGCGGACTGTGGCTAGGCCTTGGTGCCACCCGCCTGGGCACCTTGGAGTGAGCCCAAAAGAAAGAAGACCAGCACCAAGAAAGCATGGACACAGCAGCCTGGTGGCACTGTCTCACCGTGCCCACCTGGACCCTGTGCAGTCAGGACCACGGTCCCTGCTTTACAATGAACAAGGCGGGCCTCAGAGTAGACAGGTGACTTGCTCTCGACCACACAGCTAGTGGCCCCAACTTACCACCAGGTCCTCCAGGGTCAGCGTCTGGTCCACATCCCTCGGGATCTCCACCTCGCCCTTGTGGGTCAACTTGGAGGTCGGAAGCCCACGAGGCTCCTTCTGTTGCTGTTCAATGATCTCTAGGCCCTGAAGAGGATGAGCTCAGTCAGGGGCCTCTAGCCACCAACGGCCCAGCCACACCTCCCCACCTCAAGGGCCCTCTCCTGTGGCTCCCCTTCCAAGCCAGGCCTCTCCCTGCCTCCACATTGGCTCCTTGGCTCCCCTCACCTGGAAAGCCACCACCCTCAGTCCTGCCTCTCCAGATTCTAATCCTGCCTCTCCAGATGCTAATCCTGCCTCCTCCAGGAAGGCTTCCCAGACTTCAACTTCACCCACAGTCAGTTCTGCCTCTCACTGCCCTGGGGAGGCTGTGGTGGAGAGAAAGAGCACAGGTGCTGAGTCCCTGCTGGACCGTTAATAAAGATTCACGAGGCAGTGTGGCCTTGGACCACCACCCCCGAGCTGCCCTACACCTTGGTTTACCTGTTCTCTGGGGATTCCAATAAGAGCACTGGATTAAACATCATGTGCAGAGAGCCTGACCTGGTGTAGTTGTCACTGTTGATCAATGTCATCCTACCTGCAAGGTTCCTTGAAAGCCCAGAAGACAGGGGTCCTGTCCTCCCTTGGCAGGGTGTGGGACCATGCAGTCGCCCAGGGTCCCCGCTTGGCCTGAAGCTTTGCTGTTATCACCTTGAAACTCTTAACAGTTTTTGAGCAAAGGGCCCCACATCTTCATGTTGCACTGAACCCCACAAATTATGGAGCCAGTCCTGCCCCGGGACCCCACAATGCCTGGACAGCAGCTCAGCCCACAGTGGGTGGGTTCACCTAGTGGACTCCGGTTATGAGCTCTGACCAGCCCAGGGTCTTTCGGAAGAGCATCTCAGACCCCACCCCATCCCCTAGGCTAGTGAACTCCTGTGAACTTTTCCCCCTGGAGGGTGAATGATCACCCTGGACTCCAGACTGCAGACTACACCTGGTCCTCCCTGTCCCACCCTCACACGAGCTAGCTGCACAGAAATCCAAGTGTGTCACCTCTCAACAGAGCCCTCTGTCCCCAGTGCCTTTCACCTCTGCCTCTTCCTGCTTTCCTCCTGGGAGGATCTCCCGGACTCTCTGTGTGACCTCTCCAATGGCTTCCTGGTTCCTGTTCCCCATCTTGCATTTCCCTGTCTGTGTCCCTGTCCTTGTCCCTCTCACCCTCTCCTATCCCTGGGCCGCCCTCTCCTGACTTGGCTCCACGGCTCACCCGTTTCTCCTCCTGGTCCCGCCAGCGGGACAGCTCCTGAGGGGCCAGCTGGATCGAGTTCATCCGCACCAGTTTGTGGGGGGTGACGTCCCCATGAGCCACTTTGAGAAACAGGTCCTGCAAGGCAGGGGGCAGAGGCTGCACCAACCATCCTGAGAGCATCCTGCCAGCGCTCGGCACCCCGGCGGAGGGCCCAGGTCAAAGCCCGCTCACCTGGTTCCTGGGGTCCCGCAGGTTGAACAGCAGGCTGCGGTACTTGGTCTTGTAGCGGCAACTGGTGTCTTGTGTCAGGTCAAAGAGGGCTGCCTCGATGTCCTCAGCGATGCCCTCCACCACCTCCTCACTCAGCACCAGGTCGGGACACTCCTGTAGGCTGTGGGGACAAGAGAAGGGCCCTGGGCACTGAGCCCATGGGGTTATCCACACACTTAGCCCCAGGGGAGACCTGTGGCGGGAAACTCACTTCCGTCATGGGCATCTCCCTACCTGGGCCTGGCTATTCTTACCCAACTTCATAACAAATAAATATGACCGTTCTCCTTCCACAGGATGCTGAGGCTCAGAGGAGATCAGGCTGATCAATGGCAAAGCCAGAGTCAAATCCAGATTCCTCAGCCTGGGCTGTTCCTGGCCAATGGAGCTGGGGAGGTGGGGAAGGGAGGGACTTGGCTGGTGGGGGTGAAGCATCAGCCAAGGGGAGAGGATAGTAGTGACCCTGAATCTTCCATTGACTTGCTGTGTGGCCTCTACAAAGTCCTGCCCTCTCTGGGCTTTGGCCTCACCTGGGCACCCATCTCAGATGCTCCAGCACAGCCTCTCATTGTGTCTGAAAGCATTTGCTGTGGGTGATGCCCGGAGCAGACACTGAGGGCTGCAATAGCTGAAGGGCAGAGCATGACCTTGAAGCCAGAGATGCCCAGGTTCACATTTCGGCTCTCCGCAGGCTGGCCGGGTGAGCCAGTGACCTCCCCCTCAAGTGGGGTTAGTCACACACACAAGCCCTCAGAACACGGCTTGGCCGGGGGTTCGCGGCAGCCTGGGGAAGCAGAGGCCAGGCCTTACCGACTCCACAGTGCCTCCTGCATGGCGCGCACTACAGTAGCCCGAACCACGAGATCCTGGGGGGTCATCTCCTGCTGAAGCTGAAGTCCAGCTGTGGGGGAGAGAGAGCCTCCTGGGAGCCCTCAAGGGCATGAGGCGGGGCAGGCCCCAGGAGCCCAGATGGACAACATCCTCCCTCAGGGACCCAGGCCCCCTGTCCACAGCTGGGCCCTGGTGGCCAGCAGCCCCCGCCCTAGGGGAAGGACTCTAGGCTGATGGGAGGCAGGAGTCCCAGCAGGGGCTGGGGCCGGGACCCTCCATGGCCCTTCACCTGAGTCCTCTGCCCTTTCCTGGAGAGGTTCCCCATCTGCAGCCTCCGTCAGGCCACCCTGTAGGGAGAGGTGAGGAGGGGACACTGCTTTCCCCAGTGCCTGCAGCCCCCCCATGCTCTGCCACCCATTCTCCATGGTGGCCAGGTGGCAGAGGCAGGCACACTCACCCCTGAACAGTCGGCCCTGGGGAAGGGATCCTTTAGGGGCCCAGAACAGCGGCTTGGAGGGAGGAAGGGATCAGAGAGGCTTCCGGAGTCACGTGCTGTCCCTCCTAAAGGAGGTGAATGGACAACCTGGGGGCAGCAGAACATGCTGCTCAGCCAGAGACAAAGGCCTGACAGGACACTGTCTCCAAACACGCTAGTCCCCCTCCTCCAACCGACCTCCCGGATTCTGGAGGAAGAACACACAGAGCCCAGGCAGCCAGGCAGGTGGGGCCCCTGGCTACTGTCCTGAGAAGTCACACCATCCCTCTGTGCCTCAGTGACACCTCCAAGTCAGGTGACTGAGCCACACCAACCACGTGAGGAGCCTGTTCTGTACCTGGTGACCAGCAGAACCCCGGGTTTGGGCCCTTTCCCTCCTTCTGGGCCTCTGGGCCGGCAAGGCCGAGCCGGCCTCCATGAAGTCCTCTAGAGCCTCCAGCTTCAGCAGCTGCTGTCCCCCAGCCTGGCCGTGGCTGATGGCCCCCAAGAGCTGGATCACCGCCCCAGAACCGAGCTGCGGGGAGAGGAGAACTTGAGAACCAGCCTGGACGGAGGGCCCGCCTCCCCTGCAATTGCCATATGTCTGTCCCCCAGGAGGACAGGGGACGTGCCTATGTCGGTCCTCACTGTTTACCCAATGTCTGCAAAAGGCCTGGCATTTAGCAGGATTTAGTAAACGTTTGCCGACTGGCTGGCCCCTGTCCCAGGAGAGGAGCCTGTGCTCACTCCCACCCTCCTGAGCAAGGAACCTTCTCACCTCCTTCTGACCAGAGATGACCTCCTCAGGGGCCACATGTTCTGTTCTCGCACCACCTCCTCCTGTCAAAGCTTTGGACATGTCCCTTTCAGAGGCCACTAACTTGTTTTTTGCTTCTCCTTGAAATAGCCACTTGCAACCATCTCCCCTTCTGTAAGACTGCCCACCACCCAGCTATTGTTCCTGAGAGAAATCCCCTTCATTTCAAGATGCAACACAGTTTTTGGTGTTCTAATGAACTATGGAATCCATCCTGCTCCTCTTTTTGCTATGGCTACCAGGAAGCAGTTCAATGATAACTTTGAGCCTAGAAGTTTGTGCCTTTCCAGAATTGGTAGAGGGTGGCGACTTCTAATATTTTATTTCTCTTTTCCTTTGCTTTCTTTAGGTTTTTATCCCACTTTAAGTGTGTTTTGATTTTTTTAAAAATGTATTGCAAACCACAGGAATTTTCTGGAAAGCAGGTTGTGCCTGAAAATTAATCCTTGACTGGATTATCATGGAATGGTCAGGTTGCAAGGGAGAAACTGGAAGTCTAAGCTTCAGCATCATAGCTGGAGGAGGATCACCCCTGGGGGAGGACCCACCCACGACCCACCCACCCCGCCACACTGAAACAGGGAAGAAAAAGGTCAATAAGAAAAGCGTAAAAACAAAAACCTACGTAAGATACAAGCTTCACCCCATGGGGCATTTTCACTTCCTCCTTGGAGAGAGAGAGGATGCAGAGATCAGAATCCAAAGAACCCAGTGATGACCCCTTGGCAGGGAACTCACTGTAAGATGTTCTTTCCGAAAGGGTATGCGGCGTTCACCAGGTTGACATTTATAACAAAATAAAGTCGGGCACAATCCAATTAAAGGGGGAAGAGTGAATACATGGTAACATATTACACCATAAATTCTGTGTGGCCAAAGAGATGAGGAAGTCACAATAAAAATGACCTTTTACCGGGGCTTACAAAGTAGCGGGCCCTGGAGGAAGCTCATCCCACACAGTCTTATTAAGGTCTCTGAACAGCACGAGGCAGGGTGTACTACCTTTATCCTACCATTTCACAGATGTGGAGACTGAGGCTCAGAGGGGCCCTGAAAAGTCCCATAGCTACTAAGCTGGCGAGCTGTATTGGAGTTTAATTCTGATCCCAAAGCCCCAACACTTAACTGCTGGGCTTCGTGGAGATGCAGAAAGATTCATGGAAAGATATCATGGTGTTATTGGGAGAACAAGAAAAAAAAAAAAACAGGTTACAGAACAATATTGGTTGCATAAGCCCCTTTATGTAAATATATATTTATAGATGCATAACAGAATGTATCTCTGGGGAAGGAAATTCCAGAGGGACTTTCACTTTCTATGTGTCTACACTTGGATATTTATATTATTCAAAATGAGCATGTATTTCTTTTATAATCAGAAACATATTTTTTATTAAAAAGCAAGTGCAAAACAATATGCGTAGTGTGCTATCATTTGTGTCTCAGAGAGAATGAATTTTTAAGTTTGTATGCGCTTGAATGTGCATAAATTATCTCCAGAAGTACCAAAAGGGCCCATAACCTGGGCTGCTGGCAGGGCAGGGGCTGGGTGCTCGGAGGGAGGTGGGTCACTTTTTTGGTGGTGTTTTTAAAACGTGGGAATGAATCAGCTTTTTAAAAGAGTAATTGAGAAAGAGGAAGGAAAAAATAGAAAACAGGGTACACCTGGGAAAAGGAGCCGGGAAGATATTAAGACCAGCTCTTCATAGCTCCGAGCCTTTGGCCGGCCCTGGTCTCGAGGGTCCTTCAGCCAGTACTGAGGCCGAGAACGGCAGGCAGCAGGGTGGGAGGCGTGAAGGTCCCTGAGGCCGGACGTATGGGACCAGAATACAAAATACTATGTATAATATGTGTAAAGAAATAAAAGAACAGCCTCGCATATGAGTGAAGGGAGAAGGCCGAGTAGGTGTAGAGATATTTAAAAGGCAAATCTGGTTGAGAACCAAATGCAATTTCTGGAAATAAGGAATATAGGCAAAATTAAAATTAAAAACTCCATGTATAGGTTTCATAGCATATTAGACACAGCCGAAACAAACTGGCACACTTGAAGGTAAACGTTGTTCTTTTGGGTACTGAAGATTGAACCCAGGGGTGCTTTACCACTAATCTCTATCCCCCAATTTTTTATTTTTTATTTTGAGGATATATAATTTGCCCAGGCTGGCCTTAAACTTGTGATCCTCTTGCCTCAGCCTCCCAAGTGGCTGGGATTACAGGCATGTGTCCCTGTGCCCAGCTTAAAGATAAATTTAAAGAAGTGATGCAGGCCTGGCTTAGGGGCGTACACCTGTAATCACAGGGGCTTGGGAGGCTGAGGCAGGAGGATCCCAAGTTTGAGGCCAGGCTCAGCAACTTAGTGAGGCCTAAGTAACTCAGCAAGATCCTGTCTCTAAATATATACAAAAAAGTGCTGGAGATGTGGCTCTGTAGTCGAGTGCCCCTGAGTTCAAGCCCCAGTACCAAAAAATAATTTTTTAAAAAGGAGTTTGGTGAATTTCAAACAGGAAAAATAAAATCCATACCTAGACACATCAACACCAGTGATAATGTGATCCTAAAAGCACCAAGAGAAAAAAATTATAGCTAGTATTGTAAGGGCATATCAAATATGCTACTCCTGCGGTAAGCACTTTACATTCTCACTATGACCCTATGAGGTACTAGTATGATTATTGCCCTCATTTGACAGAAGAGGAAATTGAGGCTTGAAATGATTAGCTTGTCCAAGGTCACACAGCTGGCAAACCAAAGAATCAGGATTAAATCCAGGCAGTCCAATTCCACAGGCCACTGTGCTATTAATGCCACTCACTAAAAGACACTGTAGGTAGAAAAAGATTCGAAATTAACTAACAGCTAATTCCTCAATCGTCATAATGAAAGGCAAAACCTAGTAGAATGTTCTTTTTCTTTCTTGGTACTGGGGATTGAACACAGGGGCACTTTACCACTGAGCAGCATTCCCAACCCTTTTTGTTTTCTTCTTTTGAGACAGGGTCTCACTAAATTGCTTAGGGCCTCACTAAGTTGCTGAGGCTGGCCTTGAACTTGTGATCCTCTTGTCTCAGCCTCTCTAGTCAATGGGATTACAGACATGCACCACTGTGCCCGGCTAGAAAATTATTTTCAATGTGCTTAAAGAAAATAAGTGTCACCAGCTAAGGTAGAGCACCTCGCAATCCTGGTGACTCGGGAGGCTAAGGAAGGAGGGTAGCAAGTTTGAGACCAACCTCAGAAACTTAGGGAGACCTTGTCTCAAAATTAAAAAAAATAATAGGACTGGGGATGTAGCTCAGTGGTAGAGGAGCCCTGAGTTCAAACCCCAGAACCAATCCAAACCAGAAAACTGTCAATTGTAAAATCAGATGAGAATGAGGATGAGATAAAGATATTGTAGAGAAAACAAAGACAGTTGGTTTTCTTGATCATTTTATTTTACTCAATAAACAAAATAATAAAGCATGGAGGGAGAAGGAAAGAAAAATTATCCCACTCAGAAAAGCTGAGATGCAATGAAGAATTCTGAGCAAAGAAAATGATAAATATGTTGTTAAATCTAAACAAACATTGCATGAAACTATAATAACAGTGTGTGATTTGTTGTATTTAAAAAATAGGATAAGACCAATTTACTGGATAACAATAACACACAAATTGGGAAGGTGCGTGCTCAGAATGAAAGCATTCCAAGATCCTTCCCTACTTCAGAGGAGGAAGACTGTAACTACTTTTACGCTTTGCTAAGTCAGGCATTCAGGCTGAGAGAACTTCTGAGAGAACATCAACAGGACGAAGAAAAATTCTAAATTAAAGATAAAAAACGAGCAAGGGAAATAATCCATCTAAAAGGGGGCAAGTATAGGAATGAGAAATTCTAAACAGGATGGTAGAAATAAATGTAGAAGAATGAGACGAGACCCTTATGGCCCTGTACAAAGTCAACCTGGAATGGATCAAAGACCTGGGAATCAGACCAGAAACTAGGCAACTCCTAGAAGAAAACACAGGGTCAGCGCTCCCACCTATAGGTACAGGCAATGACCTTCTCAATAGGACTCCTAAAGCGCAGGAAATAATGCAAGAATTAATAAAAGGGATGGTATCAAACTAAAAGGCTTCTGGGGGCCAGGCATGGTGTGCATGACTGTAATCCCAGTGGCTTGGGAGGCTGAGGCAGGAGGATTGCAAGTTCAAAGCCAGCCTCAGCAATGTAGCAAGGCCTTAGGCAACTTTGCAAGATCCTGTCTCTAAATAAAATATAAAGGGATGGGGATGTGGCCCAGTGATCAAGCACACCTGGGTTCAATTCCCGGTACAAAAAAAAAAAAGGCTTCTCGGGGTTGGGGATTTAGCTCAGTGGCAGGGCACCTGCCCAGCACTTGCAAGGCCCTGAGTTTGGTCCTTAAATAAAAAGCTTCTGCACAGCAAAGGAAACAATTAAGAATGTGACGAAAGAACCTACAGAACGGGAGAAAATCCTTGCTAGTTACCCTTCTGACAGAGGATTAATACCTAGGATACATAAGGATCTCAAAAACTTAACACCAAAAAGACAAATAACCCAGTTAATAAATAGGCAAATGGACTAAAGAGGCACTTCTCAAAAGAAGAATTACAAATGGCCAACGAATACATGCAGACAAATGTTCAGCATCTTTAACAATTAGGGAAATTCAAATCAAAACTACAATGAGATTTCATCTCACACCAGTCAGAATGGCAGTCATCACGAATACAAAACAATAAATGCTGGAGAGGATGTGGAGACAAAGGGACTCTGTGACACTGTTGGTGGGATTGTAAATTAGTACAACCACGATGGAAATCAGTATGGAGGATCCTCAAAAGATGAGGCATGGAACCACCATAGGACCCAGCTATCCATGCCTTGGGATTTATCCTAAAGAATTAAGGTCATCACACTAGAGTGATACACACATCCCCATGTTTATAGCAGCACAATAGCCAAACTGTGGAATCAGCCCACATGTCCATCAATAAATGAATGAAGAAAATGTTGTATGCTGTTAGAGTCTGTAAATAAGTCAAAATAACACCTGGCATTTTGCCAGGGGAATGTTAGAGTTGGTAAACAAGTCTGGATGGTGCCTGGCAAAATGCCAGAGGGAGTGGTTTGAGAAGTAACAAAAGCGAGCCATTAAGTGTGGAGATTCCTGATTGGTTGACTGCTGTATCTAGTTTATGCTAATTAGATAAGCTGTGTGGAATGTATAAATACTGCTCCTGTCCTGCAATAAACGGCTCCTACTCCTGCTGTATCAATGTACACAAGTTGTTCGTCACCCCCCCCCCCCAGTTATTTTGCTGCAGCCGGACTGCAGCAGTATGCATACACAATGGAGTTTTATTCAGCCATCAAGAAGAATGAAATTAGGGCTGGGGCCGTAGCTCAGCAGAAAAGCGCTTGCCTAGTATGCGTGAGGCACTGGGTTCGATCCTCAGCACCACATTAAAAAAAAAAAATTAACAAATAAAAACTAAAAGCATTCTGTCCATCTACAACTACAAAAACAATTTTAAAAAAGAATGAAATTATATTATTTATAGGAAAATGAATGGATCCTGAGAACAGGATGTTAAGTGAAATAAACCAAACTCAGAAATTCAAGGGTCATATGTTTTCTCTTAAATGTGGAAGCTGGA